ATGGCAAATAGGAGGGTAGCAGAGAGTATCCATACTTTCTTTGTCCCTGACGCTGCCGAACGCTCGGAACGCAGGTGTGCGCTATTGGTCGCTGGTGTACGGTGCTTCAAAGTATGAACGCAGCCTTATATAGCATTGGTAACACCAAGCTGGATAACACCTAAACAGCTGCATGAAATGGCTTGAAGTACGCAGTCAGCCCGGTTCAGTCTCGAAGGCAGCATTCGAAGTCTTTTGATGGGGGGAAGAAGGTCTTCCATCATCTTCACCCCAATCACTGGCAACTTCGACCAAGGTGATCAAAATAATGCAATTCAAATAATACAAATACGAAAAACTTACATCAATGTGAGCCAGCAGCTCACCATAACCCGTATACTGGCTTCCACTTGAACAACATAACGCCTTGATTGCTGCGACCTGAAACAAAAAGAAGCTTCTGCAAGAATCCAATAAACTGAAAAAATAAAGCGCAATACATCAATTCTTCACTAACCCATTCATCCGCTAGCGCCGGTATTTGCGCAGAAATATGACCACAAAAGGCAGCAAGATCCGCTAAACGGTCGTGGTCACGTCCAAAATTCTATAACAGTAAAATTAATTGGAAGTCCCGTTATACTAAACCAAAAATTGCTACCTTAGCAGCGATGAACGAATTGATAACAAAAGAGTAGCGATTGTACAGCTGACCAAAAGAAGGAAGCCTCTTCTTGTACTCGTGGTAAGAGAAAAACCGTCTAAATATGCGACATTAAGTAAAGGCAGTGCCTGACTGCGTTCATACTTTACGGCAGCGTCCACCAGCTTCTTGCAGCGTCTATCAGCGACCACTAGCGTTCCGACATTCGGCAGCTTCAGCGACTAGGAGAGTATAGATATCGATCTAGCGTCTGCCAAGTGTCGCTAGTGGACGCTGCCCCAAAGTATGGGCGCAGCCTCAGGGAGTTCGCTGAAGCGATCACGAAACTCACAGTTTCTTTTCGAAGACATCCTTAAAGAACAGTGCATTATAACGGTTTCCTCCATTGTACGACGAGCTACCATGATTGAAAACATGGCGGAAATCATCATGAGCTCCATGTAGCTTTATATCGGAGAGCTTGAATGTAACGAATTAATACACATATTCTGACTCACGGGAACAAGTAAAAGAAGTAGAAAGAATAAGTGGAGGACGACCATTCGAGTAGGTAGGCGAGATCGAATAGATCACGAAAAGTTCCCAGTAAGTCAAAATAAGTTAACCAACGTGTCTAACCTGGCTCTTTTTCAGTTGACACTTCGAATGATAGACAAAAGCGGCGATAGTTCTACCCCAACTCGTTACAGGATATTCATGAGCACGGATCATTCGCTCGATCAGTTCATATAATCTGAAATTATTGGCTGTGCAATGAAACGTGGGGAATTCGGTAAAGTAATAGTGGCAAAACATAAAACCAAATTTCCCACATTGGGAACACAGAATCTTTACTAAAAAACGGTGAAAACTCTTGAAACACTAGTGATGGATACCGTCCGGGACTGTCGGGTAACCGAGGCCAGTAAACGCGCAATCGGAGGACGGATCAAGTCCTAGCTCCACATGCCCGACGAACCCAAACGGCATTTTTGAGGCTGCTTTCATCGGCGCTAACATAATGGGTGGAGGGGATGGGACCACCTAGAGCGCCTCTGTGTCGGCAACGTTCACAAGAGAACCTGCGTTCTCAGCGAGACTGCCTAAGCGATACTGGTGGTCTGCGCTCGATG